TTGACTTTTCGAGCAATTTGCAAGGAAACTCTGGCTTCAATTCTGGAATAGGTTCATCCAACTGAGGTCTGAGAAAGAACAAAATTAAAATTGAACAACTTGCTTCTTTCTTCCTTGATTTTTCTGAACAACTTCCATGGTAACTTTTGCCTCGTATAGTGGAATGGGTTCATCCAACTGAGGTCTGAGGAAGAATGAAATTGTTAGAAGTGCCTAGTTAAAGATGAATAGAGCACATAGCATAGTGGTTTAAAGTTGCTATAGTTCAACTCTATTACTTTAAATCAAATTTGTCCATTAATATTTCCACTGTTAAAAGCAGTTAAATTTTGAAGGGGGAAAAATACCTATTTTATCCATTCTCTCTTTTTTGATAAACAGATCCAGCTGAAAAATAAAATTGTACTTTTCTTCTTGTCAACCTGTAGGTTATTTCAAGTTGCTCTGGGAGGGGTGATGAGGATAAGCAAAGGGTGAGGTACAGTATGGAACAGAGTAAGGAAAACTAACGAACCACGTCTATCTTAGGGAATGCATACTGGTGTATATACACTTCGAGAAATACTAATGAGCAACTATTTAAGCAAAATAATAAAATATGGAGGCAAGAAGTGTACTGAGAAAGCTGAAACAAAAATGGGAATGCCCATTTTATCTCCTGGAGAATAGAAAAATAAACAAGAACAATGATTTGGTCATTTAGCATACCTAAAAACACCAGTTGATAACTTCTCCATCACATCTTTTAAGATACGTAGCTGGAAAGACTGTTAAGGTGGCAACATAAAGGAGAGAGGAGTAAATAAAACCATTTGATAAGCAGAAGGTACTAGGCAGGTCACCTATTTTTTTTTTTAATAGAAATTCTGTAAGCTGTCATGTTTACCTCTAAAACAGGAAAATGGGGGAACTGATTTGAGAGAGGTGGTGACATAATAGAGCCTAAACTTCTAAGGACAAGAGATGAAAGAAACCTAATGCCTGTCGTAAGTAATGACTACTGTTATCCCAAATGGATGGTAACAGAATGGGGTCAGGGTTTCATTTTAGCGCCACTTATGTTATTTTTAGTTAAAAACAATTTTAGCACTTATCTCTCTTACTTTGGGTGCACATTTATTTATTAAACCAGCTAATAAATACATATGCAGGAAAGTTAATAATCTGTGTGTGTAATATATGCCACTAAGAATTAAAAAGCAGGGTAAAATTTAAAACTCTAGTCATTTACTTGAAATTATTAGAACTGAGAGTCTATATAACTGCTAGTACAGGAGAATTATTTATGGCATATAATCACACAATTGGAAGGAGACTGCTATGTTAAATCACAAGCAGCAACTGGCTCATGTGTGATGCAACTGAAGGGGGTGTGCACAAGTGAGGACTGAAGTCTGATTCAGGAAATTTAACATTTCATATGAACATGTCACGTTTCAGTATGGTCCATGGATTTGTCAAATAGGTTAAAATCTCATGGTGGGGAGAAAGGGGAGCAGTTGAGAGATTTAAGTTATTAAGTAACGCAGGCATAGCAGCCAGGCTACCTTCTGACATGAAAGATTCAAAACATACTAACATGTTACTTTTAATACATGGTCTCTGTCATTAACATCCCATGGTATTCTTGATAATTACAATGTTATTGAATGTGTCATTATTTAAAGTTGAAATTTAAAGAATTCTTTTAGAAAGTTAAAACTTAAGTTTATTTTCCAAATTTAATATGAAAATATTTAATCAGAAATACATTAAACACATACATTCACTACATTAAGGGGACGTTCTGGTTTTGAAATGTGTACTCTTTAAAACTCAACATATGCAGTATACTAATTATTATTCATCTATTTGAAAGCTCTGCCATTGCTCTTAGAGGAGGCTGGCCTTTGTACACATCACGCATATGTAACAATGCACATTTAATAAAAATAAAGAATGATATTCAGTGAGGCAAACATACGGTTGTGCAAGTCTCTTTCTTCACGCACAATTATATTCTATTAAGTAATGAGAACTTATTTTGTATCCAATATATTAAAGTTTTTGCCAAGTACAGCTGCCTTTAAAACAGGCGTCTTAGAAATAAAACGTTTATTCTTAAGTTGACCCTGCTCTAAAGAGGTTTGGACCTTTCTTTTGGAACTGCTCTCATATTCTCAAGAAAACTTTTCATTACTTTTACCAAAATGGAATGATCGATTTCATTCACTAGATTTGTTACTGAATCACTTCCATTTAAAAAAATCAAACCCATCTACATTTGATGAAGATTTCCTAGTATTGATATTCTTAAAAACACCCCACATGGGACTTCCCTGGTGGTCCAGTGGTTAAGACTCTGCCCTTCCAATGCAGGGGAGGCGGGTTCAATTCCTGCTCAGGGAACCAAGATCCCACAAGCCGCGCAGCCAAAAAAAACTCCCCAAAAAACAAAAAATCACCCCACAAACTCTTAATTTTGATAACTATTCTGAAATGTTTAATGCAATGGCACCACCATAGGAGTAAAGATGCAGCCTGTCAAAGTGATCTGTAATTTCCATAATGCCAGGTTAAAAACGAAGCAAACTCTTCCATGTATTCTATAGTTTCTCATTCAGAAATGAGCAAGACTGCCTGTGTGTGATTCCTGTCCTGCCACTTGCTAGCTACATCCTTAGGCATGTACTAACCTTTCTATCCTTCAGTTTCTTTACCTGTGACACAGGGATAATGTAGTACTTAACTTTCACAGGGCTGTTTTAATATTTAAATAAATTAATACCTATAAAGCACTGGGAACATTGTTTGGCATGTTCAATGAAAGTTAGTTGCTATTATTAATTATTATTATTATTATTAAAGAACTTAATGATGAGAACACAAGGTAAATTTCAAGCCAGAAACTCAAGTCAGTAGAAAAAAAGGATATAAAGATATTTTCCCTGTTGTACATTTGACAAATTCCAAACTTCATCATTAAGGAAAGCCACCGTCGCTCCCTTGAGGAAAAGGCAGTGGCTATCTGGAGGATCCAGCTTGGATAGAATGCACAAAGAATGATCAGTTACTGTGAGTTTAATAGCAGAAGAATGATTGGTATCTTCAGCCAGAAAAGCTTTTACACAAATTAAATAATACCCAAATCACAAATAATCAGCACACAAACTTTAATAATAATATGTATACTATAATGTTTTCTTTTCTAATGCATTGTCCAAAATGATGAAACAGCAAGGTCAAATGCAAGGCCGATCTAGAGGTGATGAAGCGGTAGTAGGTATATGTGTGCGGGGGTGTGTGAGAGAGAGAGATTTCTCGTTGTTACTCACCAGTCATCTTCATGAGGAAGTTGGAAAATTGGTGAAGACTGGTACGTGAGAATTATGGTATTTGCATATCAACCATGATAAAAATATTTGAATTGAATTTTGTTGAGAAATGTAACTTCGGAAGACAATGTGTATACACACACACACAAACACACACACACACACACACACATAGTAAATTCTCATTTGAATAATTAGGAAATTGTCATAATTTTATGTAGAAATATTTTAAGTATATGTCAACAAGAATGTTTGTTACTAAGGAAAAAAATCTTATTTGAAACACTATTAAAAAATTCATGTCACTACTTCCAAACCACTAAATAAAAGTTAAATGAACTCCTCTGCTAAGCACTATATTTCAACATTTGGCCAACAGCTAAAAGTTAAAAAAAAAAAGCTACATTTCTTTAAAAATAGGATATAATTCAGAATTTATACAAATTTAGCCACACCTTGCTAAAAGACTTAGGCATTATTCTTTGTTAATTGCATCCTTTTGGTGTATCAGTAATGCTTTATTGTTTCTGATAATACCTGCAGGTTTTCTTCTGTCGTTACCCAGTGGCCTCCAACACCAAGAAGGGTGATGATATCATGTTTATGTGGTAGTAGTTGCAATTTTACAGCTGGTTCATCATCTTTACTATATAATCTCACTTACAAAGGAATTGTTTAAAGAGAGAGAGGGAGAGAGAGAGAAAATGTATTTTATAGTAATCTGATAAAAATTTATTCTTCAAACTAGTTCTCTTTACTTTTTAATGTAGTAACAAGGAAGCATTTTGTATTCAGACACTGAAAATATATTTTTTGCATTGAAACTGGTCATACACTTTAGATTTAATTATAAGTGATATAACTAAAGATAAAAAGTCTATTTTAATTTGAAAATCAGGCAAGATAACATAGCACATAACTAAGTCTGATAGTTTCAATCATAACATTGATAGCTTAATACTTTGGGAAAAGTTGACTTCTGAGTAAGGAACTCAGATTCAAGATAGTCATACTGGGACTTCCCTGGTGGCGCAGTGGTTAAGAATCCACCTGACAATTCAGGGGACACAGGTTTGAGCCCTGGTCCGGGAAGATCCAACATTCCGTGGAGCAACTAAGCCCGTGTGCCACAACTACTGAGCCTGCGCTCTAAAGCCTGTGAGCCACAACTACTGAGCCCGGGTGCCACAACTACTGAAGCCCACACGCTTAGAGACCATGCTCCATAACAAGAGAAGCCACCACAATGAGAAGCCCACGCACTGCAATCAAGAGTAGCCCCGGCTTGCTGCAACTAGAAAAAGCCACGTGCAGCAACAAAGACCCAATGTAGCCAAACAAACAAACAAACAAAAGACAGTCATATTTTGACATAATTATTGAAATGTCCATTTGAAAAGTTAATGAAGTATACATTCACTTCCACTGAAAGATTTTTCTGAGTTAATTTCGAATCTTGAAAATACTGGCTAAAAAGGAATACATATGGTCATAGCTGTATTCATTACGATTCTTAGGATAGAAGATAAATTCTAACAAAGTATAAACAGAATCCCTTTGCAGGCTTGTGAAACCTGTTCTTTAGGTGTGATGGCACTACCTAAGAGTGTAAAGATTAGGTGTTAAGTAGATATTGGTTAAACTACAGAAGTTCAAGCAAGGTGAAAATGTAACAAAATCCTGTGCACTTTCCAAACAAGGACTGCAGAAGTCTACCATCCAATAGAGGGCAGCCTCAGAACTGACTAATTAAGCAACTGGCTGAGACCCGAACTAATCTAGGAACCACTGAGGAGATCATGTCTGCAGATTTCTTGTACAGATACTTAAAGTCCAATGCCTACACTTTAAAAGGCAAGCATGTTCTCTCTTCCAGACAGTGCTTACAATGGGAATAAAATGAAGAAGCGCCAATTTAAATGGAAAAGTTCGAAACTAAAAAAACCCTACACATCAATTTAATAATATATAAATAATTATTTCCTGGTTATATATTATTTTCCCAGGAATTCACCCATCACAATAAAAAAGCTACAGAGACCACTGATTTAGTAAAGTACCCACCTCCAGCATCTAGGACAATATCTACTCCAAGGCCACCTGTTTCTTCTAAACAGCTTTCAGCAACCTGGGCTTTCCCATTGGACACATCGATCACTCGGGCTGTAAAGGACAGGAAGTCAGGCAATCTGTGTGTGATCAACACAACTCAGAGAAGAAGAGAAAGAAAAGCAAATAAATATTTCTTCTCTGAAATGAATTAAATGGTTGAAGCAATTACTGAATCAAATTATACTTCTTCTCATCTAACCAGTATTGCTAAGGATCAATTTAAATGAAGGAACTGGTATATTCAATAAAATAAAAATATGAGCATTTTGTGGATAATGTGTCCCAACGTTGGTCTGTTGACATAGAGGATTGTTCTTTACAGCTAAAGGATATTTTGCCAGAACTGAGAATCTCTAAACCACAGAGGTACATATATATGAAGATGTGGACAGAAAGATTAAGCAATTTCTTAAGTATATTCAGATTTAATAGAGCTTAGAGCTAAAAAGTACAAAGATATATTTATGTGATTTGGTACTTCTCTGTTAGAGGCCGTTTTAACCTTTCTCAATCATAGAAATCCCAGCCCACACCCACATCTCCCAACTTTGCCCTCCAAAACAAAAAAAAAATCCCAAAGGTGAAAATAAACCCAGGATTATTTTAAGCAGGGTTAGTAAAAATTAAACTAATTTTAACTGGTTGCTTTAATGTGTTAATACAACAAGCCAGTGAGAGAACTAAAGAAAAATCTCAATTTGAATTGGCAAATGAAGACACATGTTTATATTTCATTTTTGTATCTTTTAACACCTTCTCAGTAAAGAGAATTCCTCTCAGAGATTCTCAGATTGGAGGTGTTGTCCAGTAGTGACCGAAGTCTCGGGGGATGGAGGTGAGGGTGGGGGCACTCGAGGGAAAAGGGGCTGAAGCACCTCAGAAGGGCAGGGTTAACCAAGAGGAAACTGCTCCCTTCAACAATACTATTTATGCTACCCACCCCTTCCATTTTCAATCTCTCTTCTTCCTTTTTTTTCTTATTTTCCTCCTTTCTCCAGCCCCTGTTTTAACCTTCCTTCCACTTCTTGGTTATCTCTGCCAGAAGCATAACATAACTATGGAAATAACACAGCCTTTACTATTAGGCAGGCTTGGGTTCAAATTCCATTCCAGGCCTAGTGGTACATCTAGTGGTACATCCTTGGACAAGCTAAATTCTGAGATGCTGTTTCCCAGTTAGTTGACACTGGGTTGTTGAGGATTTAAGGAACTATCATCCATATTAACACTCAATGAACCTTACTTTCCTTCCTGCCTGCCCTTCACTTACACTCTGCTCATCTTCTTTGCTCTTTATCTGTTAAACTCCAACATTAATTCAGTTAACTCCAGTCTGTAAAATTCCATTCCTATCTTTCTTCTCTTCTTTTTCATTTTTTCAATCTCTATTTTCTTTCTCCTTTCCATATTCATCGCTGTTCGTATATGTTCAATCTTTTCAAGAGCTCCCCAGCCTCTACCATGTCCTATTTATTATCCTAAACTATATCTGACCTAGGTTTCTGTGTAAGTGGCTCATCTCCCTTCCTAGTGTATCACAGGAAACAGACAACTTTAGAGGCCTATCACTGGGTAAAAGAGGTTGAGAAACATAAAAGGTGATGCAAAAATATATTGATTTATTGACTAAAACCAAAGAGGCATCAGGTGTTTCTCAACTGTGTCAAAGTTCACCTAATTCAAACTTGGGTGAGTTGGTAACAATGAGGCAAAGAAGAAAAAACACTGAAAAATGTAGGTTTAAGAAACAAATCATTAAAATTTAAACTATAACTTATGTAAACTTGGACTTAGCACAGACACTAAGTGCATCTTTTAAATGACATGCATTTGGCATTTTGCAGTTCGTTGTTTTTTTTTTTTTTTTTGCGGTACGCAGGCCTCTCACTGTTGTGGCCTCTCCCGTTGCGGAGCATAGGCTCCGGACGCGCAGGCCCAAGGGCCATGGCTCACGGGCCCAGCCGCTCCATGGCATGTGGGATCTTCCTGGACCGGGGCACGAACCTGTGTCCCCTGCATCGGCAGGCAGACTCTCAACCACTGTGCCACCAGGAAAGCCCTGCAGTTTGTTTTACAAGTGCAGTTTTTAAGGTGATATCTCTTCAAAATTTTATGTTTTAAAGTCTGTGTTGAGTACTATTACCCACCTATAGAAGGCCTACATCTTTCAAGACACTGCTTGTCTTCAAGGCTGCACGCTGTTGAAATCACTTTGGCTCCTCTATGGTGTGCCAACTGAATAGCTATTGTCCCAAGTGCCTGTGTGGAAACAAATACACAATGGTGTTATAGATATAGGGCAGAGGCCGTATCTAATTCATTTTATAGGCCGTTTAATAAACTGTAATAGTTTAGTGCTACCTCAGTATATTTTAAAATGTTGTCTGATAGAAAAAGAAAAAAATACGGATAAGTTTAGAAGTGGAAACATTTGACACACTCTTCCTCAAGAGGGGTGGTGGAAAAGCTATGTGTGCCACAGGCTCTCAGCCAGTCTGACTGCAAGCAGCACACAATTTCAAGGACAGAGGCCGAATTCAGAACACGGCCTTGGAATGAGAAAAATGGGCCATTAAGGGCCTTGCCAGCATAATGTACTAAGCTAATTATATAATATCAATACATATGCAAGTCCAGCAACCTCAACTCCAGAAGTTCCATCCTTTTGCTGACCTGTGGAGTAAGTTCAGGGAAACACTACTATCCTGATGTAGGACATAAGGATGAAGCCAATGCTGAAGACCGTTATGCCTTTTTTTCAATGAAAAGCAGGGGAAAAAGCATTTTCATCAACAGCCAGTTAGAAAATAAAACTATAAAATCACCCCAAGTTCTGTGACATTTTTCGATTATAATTATATTTTATGTAATCTCTTTTAGTATCTTGAACTATATTTTGAAGATGTATGTAATATGTTTAAATTAGCACAGTTTTGAGCTTGTGTGATCTATCTATAAATGCAACACCTTAATCACATAAGTGTAAGTATGAGGGATATGATACAAAATTGGCAGGGAGTCCTGGGGTCTGGCTTCAAAGACTATGAGCTATTTCAGGCTTTGTGTAACAGACATGAATAAAAATGGCTTGTCTGCTTTTTTAAAGTACTAGCAGATTCAAAGTAAAAAGAAACTAAACACAGTAATGCTAACTTTTATCTCCTTGATAAAAGCTGCTTATTTTAGAAAATGGGAGTTTGGTAAATGTATCAGTGAATAAGCTAACTGGCAACAAATTATATTAGCAAATGGTTGGCCCATTTCTCAATTCCCTAAGTTTATTTGTATTTTGGTCTGTTTCTTAACAAAACCATTAGCACCTACACTCGCTCCGTCCATTATCAGCACTGACTTTCCAGGAGAGAGATGAGAAAGATAATGCAGAGCTGTATAGACTCGTACTCCATCCCGAATGGTTCCAGCGGCTTCTGTCCACGTAACTTTTTCTGGTTTGTGAACTATCACAAAGAAAAAGAGCAAACAATCTGTTAGCATGTCCCGTTAGACCTGCTTCCTGAATCTGTTTCCCTCCATCTCTGCTCCCACCATAGCCCTGGTCCAAGCCTATTTCTAGTATCTCTCACCTACATTAGTTTCTCTGCTTCCATTCTTACCCATGCATACTCCACTTTCAGCATAGGAGTGTGTGTGTGTGTGTGTGTGTGTGTTTATTTTTTAAACATTTTATTGTTAAAGTAAAATGTATGCAGAAAAGTACACGAAATAAAGTACAGCTGGATGAATAAATATGAAGTAACCACCATCCTGGTTGAGAGAGAGGACACAGCCCTCACGCCAACAGCCTCGCCTCTCCGGCCAGAAACTTTGTTTGTTTGTTTTTTTGTTTTGTTTTTTTGCAGTACGTGGGCCTCTCACTGTTGCGGCCTCTCCCGTTGCGGAGCACAGGCTCCGGACGCGCAGGCGCAGTGGCCATGGCTCACGGGCCCAGCCGCTCCGCGGCATGTGGGATCTTCCCGGACCGGGGCACGAATCCGTGTCCCCTGCATCGGCAGGCGGACTCTCAACCACTGCGCCACCAGGGAAGCCCAGTGCTTCCATTTTTGATGTCTTAGGGCAACATCCAATTTCATAGAATGGATTGGTTATCCACTCTCCAGTCAAGGAATATTTGTGTTTTTCCCCATTTTTGGTAGTTAAGCATTCTTAACTAAGAATGCTCTTGTATAAAAGTTACTCTTACACTGGTACACAGGTTTTTCTCCAGGATATTTACTGAGGAATGTAAATCCCAGCTCCAGGGTATATTACCTTTGACTTTATATTTCCAAAGTGGCTGTATGAATTTACTCTCCCACAGCTGCTGTTGTGAACATCCTTGTCAACCCTGGTGTTATACATTTTTGCCCATCATATGGATGTGTAATGGTTTCTTACATGTGATTTTATTGATAATTTGCTTTCCTCTGACTACTAATGAAGTTGAGTACCTTTCCGTGTTCGTTGGCCATATGGAATTCCCTTTGTGAAGTGACTGTTCAAGTGTTCTATCAAATTTTCTATTGTTGACTTTTTCTTATTGATTTGTAAAAATTCTTAATATATTCTAGATGAGTCATTTGCTTGTTTATGTGTTGTAATTATTTTCAAATTTATGGCTTCTCTTTTCAATCTCTTTAGTGGTGTCTTTGAAAAACAGAAGTGTCAGAATGATCTTTTAAAAACATAAATGACATCCTAACACTTCTGTGTTTAAAATTCATCAGTGGCTTTCTATTGCACTTGGAACAAAATGCAAACTCCTAATATACTGTAATTTAAGCCATATTAGCTTTTTATTTTCTGACCATTAAGCTGCTCTTTAATATGTTTATTTAATTTGTATTGTTTTTATGGTGTACACTGAATGTGATTTTTTTCACAGTATAGGCAATACTTTCTCATTTGACCTACAATCAAGTTTATAACACTTTCTGTAGTCTTTACCAGGACTATTTTTCCTCTTATGTCAATAGATTCAGATGGGTTAGCATGGCCAGTCAGCACTGAATTTACCAACTAATTAGTGCCATCTAGTGGGGAAGCAAAACATCCAAGCACATGATGAAAATGTTCAGACAGACGAGCAAGGCATTAAAAGAGTAAAACAGGGGATATCTCACACAGTACTTTATTCCTTACCAAACTCAAGATAGCTATTTTCCCACTTTTACTGATTATGAAATGGGGTTCAGGGTAATTAATTTGTCTGAGGCCACAAGTTTCAAAGTGTGACTTTAAAGCCCATCTACTCTAACAGTGCATGTTCAATCTGTGTAAAATTTATTTATATGGACTTTTTTGGGAACATCTTTCATCATAAGAATTAGGACTACCTACACTTTCATTAGGAAATAAAAAATTCAGTGCTTAAAAATTCTAACAGTAAGAAAACTACATTTAAGATTGCAGAGGCTTTAAAATTACATGGTTGGCATGGACATGGTTTAACCTTGAGATCCTTGCTTTTGTGTTAGGTGGTACACAAGTGTTTACTACGTCATAAAAACTAAGAAAATAAATAGAAGAGAGCCATGTATGGATCAATAACAACAGTATGTCAGAGCCCAAGAATTACAATTTCAATTCTTTCTACCTCAGGTCCAAAGGAATAATGCTGAAAATGTGTGCCAATTTTTTAAAAATTTAACTTTTATTTTATATTGGAATATAGTTTACTCACAACATTGTGCTTGTTTCAGGTGTACAGCAAAGTGATCCAGTTATACATATACATATATCCATTCTTTTTCAAATTCTTTTCCCATATAGGTCACCAAAGAATACTGAGTAGAGTTCCCTGTGCTATACAGTAGGTCTCCGTTGATCATCTACTTTTTATGTATCAACAGTAGTGTGTATATGTTAATCCGAAACTCCCAGTTTATCTGCCCCCCAAATTTCCTCTTTGGTAACCATAAGTTTGTTTTCTAAGCCTGTGAGTCTGTTTCTGTTTTGTAAATAAGCTCATTTGTATCATTTTTTTAGATTCCACATATAAGTGACATCATATGATATTTGTCTTTCTCTGTCTGACTGACTTCACTTAGTATGATTATCTCTAGGTCCATCCATGTTGCTGCAAATGGCATTATTTCCTTCTTTTTTATGGCTGAGTAATATTCCATTGTACATATGTATCACACCTTCTTTATCCATTCCTCTGTCGATGGACATTTAGGTTGCTTCCATGTCTTGGCTATTGTAAATAGTGCTTCAATGAACATTGGGGTGCATGTATCTTTTTGAATTATGGTTTTCTCCAGATTATGCCCAGGAGTGGGATTGCTAGATCATATGGTATTTCTATTTTTAGTTTTTAAGGAACCTCCATATTGTTCTCCATGCTGGTTGTACCAATTTACATTCCCACCAACAGTGTAGGAGGATTCCCTTTTCTCCACACCCTCTCCAGCATTTATTGTTTATAGACTTTCTGATGATGGCCATTCTGACCAGTGTGAAGTGATACCTCATTGTAGTTTTGATTTGCATTTCTCTAATAGTTAGCCATGTTGAACATATTTTCATGTGCTTTTCGGCTACCTGTATGTCTTCTTTGGAGAAATGTCTATTTAGATCTTCTGCCCATTTTTTGATTGTGTTTTTTTGACATTGAGCTGCATGAGCTGTTTGTATGAAAAATAAAATCAGAATGGCTTGAGAACTGAAAGCACAAAAGATCTGGAAGAATTACTCAACTTTTTACCTTTGTCCTCAATATTCTGAAACAAGATTAATAAGACATCTTTTGGGAGTTGTTTGGAGCCTGGTTCTTTGGTTTGGTAAAAGAACTGACTTACTAGAAGGTGACTGAGTTGTGAGCTTTTAATTTAAAAAATCATCAAATAATTAACAGAAACTAAAACACAGTCATGAACTAAATTATTTCAGGAACTAAATTATAATTATAACAGGAACTAAATTATTTCTCCCTGCAAATTTTCAGGGGACATACTGAAATTATTTTCTCTTTCATAGAATGTTAGAGCTACAGCAGAGATTAGAGGTTATCTAGTTTGGCATGCTTGTTTATAGACAAAGTAAAATGTGCCCGGGTCTTGCCTAAAGGTCACACAGTGAGTGGTCATTCTTCTTTTTTTAAATTTGAAGCATAGTTGATTTACAATGTTTCAGGTGTTAGTGGTCATTCTTAAAGTACTTCTTTTAAAGAAACACTTTGTTGTGTTTCCCTTCTCAAGGAATATCTATCAATAGAGTTGCTTTCTCTGTATATGTTGGTGGATTTTGGGACTATAATCCTCCTGATTTGTAGGAAAATAAAAGGTCACTTGTGTGGTTCTCTTGTCTCAGATTAAGCTTTATAGCTAGAAAATTCTGATGTTCCAGTTTGCTGTTCTTCTTCTGGTCCATCTTATAATCCTCCATTGTTCAGCAATGCTTAAAGAAATGGATCTTTTTAATTCTTGGTTTGTTTTTTCAACCGTTGACTTTCTATAACAATTTAATTTAGTTTACTTTATCAAAACTCAAGCCTAGGAATCCAAACTAAAGGTTTTAGTTGACTCCATATTTACAAGGTTCTCAAAAGAACAGGGACAATAAGGGCCCAAGGGGGACTTCCCTGGTGGTCCACTGGTTAAGAATCTGCCTTCCAACGCAGGGGACGCAGGTTCAATCCCTGGTCGAGGAACTAAGATCCCACATGCCGCGGGTCAACTAAGCCCAAATGCCGCAACAACTGAGCCTGCATGCCACAACTAGAGAGAAGCCCACACGCCACAACTAGAGAGGAGTCTGCGCAACGCAACAAAAGATCCCACGAGCCACAACTAAGACCTGATGTAGCCAAAAATAAATAAATAAATAAATATTTTTAAAAAAAGGGCCCAAGGAAATTCTGGGATTAAAAATAGTAGAGCTTCCCATAAAAGAGACAGCAGCCGTCCTCAATTGTCAAACTGCATTATATCAAAATAGTCATGGATCAGAGACTTTCACTGCATGGTATTTGGAAGTGAGCTTTATCTTTCAAAGGAAGACACATAGTTTGCTCCATATGTAGGCTTAATATATATATAAGTAAGCACAGGCCTCAGATTTCTGGAAAACTGTCTTTTAAAGTTAATTTTTAAGGGACTTCCCTGGTGGCAAAGTGGTTAGGAATCCTCCTGCCAATGCAGGGGACACGGGTTCAAGCCCTGGTCCAGGAAGATCCCACATGCCGCAGAGCAACTAAGCCCATGCACCACAACTACTGAGCCTGCGCTCTAGAGCCCGCGAGCCACAACTACTGAGCCTGCGTGCCACAACTACTGCAGCCTGTGTGCCTAGAGCCCGTGCTCTGCAACAAGAGAAGCCACCGCAATGAGAAGCCTGCGCACCGAAACAAAGAGTAGCCTCCGCTCGCCCCAACTAGAGAAAGCCTGCGCGCAGCAATGAAGACCCAACGCATTCAATAAATAAATAAATGAATGAATGAATGAATAAAATTTAATAAAAAATTAATTTTTAATAAAACGAGATGGTATTACTTGGAAATTTTAGACATAGTAAATGTCATTAATTTAAATATAAATTACTTAACAATTTATAATTTCAAAAATGAAATGCCAAAGATTTCCTAGCCTCGTTCAAGTTACTATATAGACTCAAATGTACAAATTTACTATTTTTAATAGTCCAAAATCCAAATTGGCTCATATGGTCTGATTAGCATTTGTATCATTCAAGAAAGAACTTAGGAAAAATTTTAATAAAATAGTTCAAGAACACAAAAGAATGTATGATAACCTATAGATAAGATATGAAGAACAACATGAATTCCAGCATAAGGAAGAGCCGACTGGCAGTGCCACTGTAGTTCCGTGGATCTACTCTGATCACATCCTCGTGCCTTGCCCACAAAGGTAACTTCCACATGACTTTTCATCCCTACCTGTTCCTTATATCCTTAAATAACACATGCTTAATTAAACTTTGTATGTTTTTGAACTTCATAGAAATAAAATGGTATCACACTGTTCGTATCCTTCTGCAACTTGCTTTTTTCACTCAGCACAGTTTGTGAGGTTCATCCGTCTTGATATGTTTGACTGTTATTTATTCATTTTCACTGATGAGTTAATTAGAAATATCTTTAGTTATCCATTTTCCCATGAAGAACATTTGGGCTGTTTCTCTTTTTATTCCACAATTACAAACAATGCTACTATGAACTCTTGTGCATGTGCTACTGGTACACATCAAGCTTCTCTGGTGTATGAAAGTACCAGTGGAATTACTAGGTCTGAGGTGTTAACACATCATTACCTTTATTAGATCATGCTAAGTTATTTTCTAATGCATTTGTACTAATTTACACTCCCAGTGTATAAAAGGTTCTACTGCTCCACATCCTTGCCAACACTTGGGATGGTCAAACTTTGTAACTGTCAGTCTCATGGATGCATAATGGTATCTCTAAATGGTTTTAATTTGCTTTCCCCTGATTACTAAGGAGATGCAGCATCTTTTCACTATGGTTTCATGAAGAGTGTCTGTGATACATTTATTCATTTAAATTTAAATATTTAAGAAGTAAATTACTGTAAGAAAAATTTTAAATTAACATTTAAGTTACATTGAATACTGGTCAAAAGATATTAGCAACAGAAACAAGAATAAGTGTTTTTGAGTCTTTCCTGACTCAGACTCTATATGTATTGCCTAGATTTTATACATTTAAAAATTTCAATTAATAACCAAGAATAAGAAGTAAAAAATTCTGATTAGTGATATAATTTCAGAGCCAAGGACAAAATGGCTTTTCAAACCTCTTACCATGAGCAGTGTAAGGGAAACTTAAAGGTCTAAATACTGTTTAGCTTGAAAATGAATTTTATGGATACAAAATATAAGCTAGAATTAGTCATATGACCACCCGATAGTCATTTCCTAGGTACACTCACAGCAGATGCAAATAAATCATACTGTTACTAAAAACCACACACATCTGTGAAATAGGGCTTACGTGAGTTCCAAAACACTGGACTACCACATACCCAAGTAATGCTCATGTACTCGAACAGCTTCACAAAGTCCAGGGTCTTCAGAATCCAGGGGTAAAATTCCTGAAAATTAAAACGAGAAACTTTAGGGACACAATCCAAAAATGAATTCACTCCTAATGAGATGCCAGTAAGCATGAGTCTAAATTTTCCTCAGTGGAATTCTGAGGAAGGTTCCAGTCCTAGTGTGGAGAAGGGAGAGATTTCAGAAACAAGGAAGGGAAGTAGTTTATTTTCTGATATGAACACTGTAACACCTGCACTACCTCTTTCTTTTTCTTCCTCTTCTTTCACCTCTGAGTGATGATAAAGACGATGGCTGATGTACAGAACAAAGTCAGAGTCCTGGGGGCATCTGTGCTCCTCATTAAACTTGTCCCTGATTTACGGCTCCCTTCCCAGAGTTTGGTTCTATAGGATAGTGAGGTATGCTTCCAATAAAATCCCATTTTCCCCTGAGCTAATCTGATTTTACTTTTGGTCTCTTACAAAAAGGATCTTTTGTTTTGTTTTGTTTTGCGGTACGCAGGCCTCTCACTGTTGTGGCCTCTCCCGTTGCGGAGCACAGGCTCCGGATGCGCAGGCTCAGCGGCCATGGCTCACGGGCCCAGCCGCTCCGCGGCATGTGGGATCTTCCCGGACCAGGGCACGAACCCGTGTTCCCTGCAATCGGCAGGCGGACTCTCAACCACTGTGCCACCAGGGAAGCCCCAGGATCTTGAATAATACAATGTCACTGACTTCTTGGGCAGATAATAAAGATAAGATAGAAATAATAAATTCTCAAAGAAAATACCCAAGTCAAAGGCAATTGTGTTAAAAGCTGATGAAAACTTTCCTATAAATTTATTCTTAGCTTCAAGCATGCTGTAAAGCTATACATTTTCTAAGTCTATATGAATATTTTCCTATGAATATTTTCTACAGAGAAATGGCAATTTCAAAGACTACTACTAAACACATACTTTATATTTGTCTGAATGTCTAGGACACAAGTATAAATATATATTTTTGCAAAATGGTATTAACTATGGATTAAAAAAGAAAACCAATAAATTAAATGTCTCCAGTAAATTTTTAGTTTTACGAGGGTAGTAAGGGAGCAGCTCTGTACAATTCAAGTCAGATGTGGAGAGAAGAGCTTCTATGTAGCCAAGTCAGTCAGTAGTCTTCAAGCTGATGGACTGTGACTTTTCTTTTCTCTGGAGTCTTCAGTCTAACTGTAGACCAGGTTCCTGCCAGTGAAGGGCTGCACCAGGGACAGTAACAACTATGATCATCTTTCTATCATATCTACAAATATTGAAAAGTTTTAAATGTTCTGCTATTGTGATCAAACTCCCAATTCTCTTCATCAGTGGATATTTGAGAGTAAATTCCAAAACTTAGGTAAGTACTTGTATATGAAGCAAGGTCACACTAAGCATCAGCAATTGTATAGAAAAAAAGGAAAAGAAACAACAGTAAGACAGAGGACTTGAAATAGGACTAGGACCTATAACTTACCAGCCACTTCATCACCTGGTTGAAAGAATGATACCTTGCTTCCAACTAAAGAGTGGAGAAAATTAATAATCATTATTTTGAGGTTATTAAATATAACTGAACAATTAAATTTTAAAAGCCATGGATTAATAAAAAGTCACTAACTCAGAGAAAAAGTCAAGAACTTCTAGGACATTTTGATAGTCTGTAAGGACAGTAGGAAAGAACATCTCAAATCTGGATTCTCTACAATATCTGGGCCATGTGGCTGTTGACACCGTGGAGCAGGATGTCTCTCTGTTCAGCTAAGGATGAAGGAATAAAGGAAAATAATCCACTCCACAGATCTTATGATGATGACACTGGATACACTGGGTTCCACCCCTCCTGAGGCTCGTCCAATCTGTCATTGTTTGAGTTGTAAAATCTCTGACATACAATGGGAATTCTGGTTAGAATCACATATAAACTACTTTGATTTGGGATTATGGAAATAAGTTCCGAATGGTGCCAAGAAATTTTGGGGACCATACAGAAGTGATGGTTACATTTTCTCTTTGTGTGTAGAGAAAAGCCCTACACCATCAGTCAATTCTTTAGAATATTTTTGTTTCAAAAAGTTACAAAAGGAAATGGGAGGAAAAAACCCAAACCTCGATGAAGCCCTACTTGTGCCCAGCATTTTACCATGTTATCACATTTAATCTTCATGGCATACCCATTAAGTACCTATTATTACTCCTATTTAACAGACAAGGAAACTGAGGTGCAGCAGTGAAGTAAGGTAGAGCCTGAAATTTGGAAGCGGCGCCTCAGGCTGGCTCTGTCTGCAAAAGGGCCCCAGTTTGCTGCATCTTTGGATCTCTTCTGTGCCATTATCCCCCAATAATTTTGGCTTCTGTACTTTTCCTTTTCCCTCCTGCTGAGGATTCTTGTCTACCTGAAGTCACCCTGATCCTTTTTTCTTGGCTTCCTTCATAGTCCTCTTAATTGTCCTTCAAACAGTGGCATTGCCAAGGGTTCCATGCTGTGTCTCCTTCATTTCAACTCTCTCCCTGGATGAACTCATCACCCTTCTATAGTTTCAAACACAACCTATAAGCTGAGAACTTTTGAATGTAACCAGAATCTTGTAAATCATTTCCTGCTTTTACCTGTTTTTAATTTCCCTGTTCCAGTCAATTATTAAGTTCTGCTGGCTTTACTATTTCTTGAATACATTCACTACCTCTGCCGCCACTGTCTACGTTATGGACTTTGTCATTTTTTGTTTTTAATTAATTATTTATTTTTGGCTGCACTGGGTCTTCGTTGCTGCGCGTGGGCTTTCTCTAGGTGCGGCAAGCAGGGGCCACTATTCGTTGTGGTGCGTGGGCTTCTCATTGCAATGGCTTCTCTTGTTGCGGAGCACGGGCTCTAGGCGCGCGGGCTTCACTATTTGTGGCATGTGGGCTCAGTATTTGTGGCATGCGGGCTCTAGAGTGCAGGCTCAGTAGCTGTGGCTCACGGGCTTTGTTGCTCCGTAACATGTGGGATCTTCCCGGACCAGGGCTCAAACCTGTGTCCTCTGCACTGGCAGGCGGATTCTTAACCACTGCGCCACCAGGGAAGCCTCATGCCGTTTCTTGCCTGTTGGTCTACTACCCAAACAGTCCTCTTGCCTACAGCCTGGTTTGCTTCAAATCCACCCTTCTTATGGCCACTCTAATACTCTCTCTACAACCCAATCTGAGATAGGAGGCTCATCATGAGTCTGGCCCTTGCCTACCCTCTTGTCTCATTTTTTGCGGGGGAAGGAATCAGTGTTCCTATCATCATGAAAAGATTCTGTTCAATATCTTTTATTCTCTGAAGGAGAATCTGAAGGAGATTTTTGATTTTTGAGATTTTTGATCTCTGAAGGAGAATTTTCTTGACACAGTGGTTTTTTTCTGCCAAGTTCCTTGCCTATGACTCATGCCCAGAACTTAATTTTGCTCTAGTAACACCGAACTCCATAATTCTTACATACAGCACCTTATTACCTGCTTCCGCATCTTTGCTCATGCTATCTACTCTGTTGAGCGTGATTCTTGGAGAAGAATTCTCCTCCTGCCCACCCCTTACTGTCTGGCTAACTTACTCCAAGAGGCCTTTCCTGTTTCTGCTGGCTGGTTGGGCGGCTCTCCTTGGAGCTTTCAGAATGAATCTGCCTATACGTGTTTGTCTGCCTCTCCCCTAGATTGTGAACTCTTGGAGGGCAGGGACTGTCTTATTTATCTTCACATTCCAAGCACTTTTCAAGTGCTCATTAAATGATGAATAAATAAATGAATGAATGAATAATTGATCATCTTCTGGCTATTATAATTCTTATTTTTATTTTCGTACAATCCAAGCAGAAGAAAGGAGAGGGAATAAAATTATGATTTAGTTATGTTAGAAGACTACATTAAGAGTATCAGATGTATTATAGATTAAATTTACAGGTGAAATTCAAATAGTCTAACCCACATGATAATGCTCATTCATCCACTCACATATGCAAGAAGAGCAACCATAAACTGATTGATCATGAACTATTAGCAGAAAATATGAACACTACGTTTATTCAGAAATTATTTCAAGTACTTAGGCTTACTGTTCTGCGTGTTAAGACCATTATTTACTAAAACTTTTCTTTATTTAAGGCAATCATAAAATGTTACTGGTTATTTCTCCCCAGAAGCAATTTCAGATGAGCAAACTGTTTACCTTTTAAATACTCCATTTTAGGCATACTTTAAAAATTTAATGTAAATGTAGTTACTGACCATTATATAAATTTTGGCCCAAAGCCAACTTACACAAGTAATTTATGCTGCTCTGCAAATACCATAAAAAGGATAATACTGGTCATTCTATTCAATGTGATTACTCATGGATTTAAATACATAATCTCTAAATATTTACTAAACTGTAATAAGCTCTTCAATTATAAAATACCAATATCGTTCTAGTTTTCTTTTTAATTAAAAAAAGGGAAAACACTTCTGCATAATTAACTTTTGTATTTGAAGAAGTGTGTATAATTTTATGTGTCAGTAAACCAATTAGCTACCATTTAATTTCTTTTACCTTAGAAAAGGAATACAGAAACTTATATCTATAAACTTACCATCTAACACAATTCCAGCAACTTCTCTCCCAACAGGAAAGAAATCCTTCTCCATCTTCATTTCCGTTAGAAGCTAAATAATGACAAAGGCTTGAATTTATTGTCAAGAATAAATCCGAAACTCTTTTCATACATGAGGAAAGCAGGAGCAAAAACCAAACCACATAAAAAGCAAATATGACTCCATTTTTGGCGTCAAGACATAAAGCAAGTAACTTCACAAAACAGGTTCCTCTATAGAGTAGGAAACCAAGTTTGCTGAGGAATTAGTGGACGTTAGGGCTTAGGTATGAGTATTACCATTCAAACCACCATCAACATACTTTAACATCTTTATTCTGCCAAATATGAAGGGAAATTATAGCCAGAACAATTCTCAGTTGGCTAAACACTTGTACCAGTCACCTCATTTGGGTGGGGTGGGTTTGCGTGTTTCTCACAAGCCTTGGGCTAGGGAGTAGGTGAGAAGTAGTGATGGATATACACAGGGAAACTGCGACATAATCTCAGGCCGGAGTTTCTTCTTTTAAAGGATAAATTATTTATTTATTTATTTTTCATTTGTTTATTTAATTAATTTATTTTTGGCTGCACTGGGTCTTTGTTGGTGTGTGCAGGCTTTCTCTAGTTGTGGTGAGTGGGGGCTACTCTTCATTGCGGTGCGCGGGCTTCTCATTGTGATGGCTTCTCTTATTGTGGAGCCACGGGCTCTAGGTGCACGGGCTTCAGTAGTTGTGGCAGGTGGGCTCAGTAGTTGTGGCTCACGGGCTCTAGAGCGCAGGCTCAGTAGTTGTGGCGCACGGGCTTAGTTGGTCTGCGGCATGTGGGAATCTTCCCGGACCAGGGATCGAACCCATGTCCCCTGCACTGGTGGGAGGATTCTTAACCACTGACTACCAGGGAAGTCCAAATTATTTGTTTTTGAGAGATTAGTATGTTGTTAGATACTGACCACATTCAGCATTTGATTTTTAAAGTGATAAGAGTGTACATAGATAAGCCTGTAGCTTAAGCTCCTTTTATACTTTTCTAAAAGTATAAAAGTTACTATACTTTTATAATAATACTAGAGATGCTGAACATATTTGTAGATATGTTAGTATTTTAGGAACAGTAAGTAAAAAGAAATTGTAATAATTTTCTTGTATATTTCCCTTATTTTTCAATTCTTTGATCTCCTATACATACTTCATTGCCAGAAAAGTCTCTTTCTCAATGTGGAACTTTACCCTTTTCCTAAGATGTTCACATAACATTCTTACAGAAATACTCGGTGTTTTACAGTGTTTATTTTTTATGCAGAGCTAAAATCATGGTTATGGCAATTACACCCTGCTCTCCTTCACTTACCATAAGCATCTTCTCACATTCCTACAGTTTTCATAATCATTATGATTAATAGTTGTTGTAAAATCAAATTTATTTCACTGTAATTTACCATTTCTTTCTGTTAGACATGGAGATCATTTCCTAGACCAGCATTTCAATGGATTTTTTGTAGTTTTAAAAAGAACATCTTGGAAGGGCTGAACACAGATCTCTCCAGATAAGGAACAGTAGATTATTCCCAGTGAAAGGACTTCAGGGCATCTCACTAATTCACTTCTCAAGTCATGCTCATGTTACAGAATCGCCCAGTGGAAGCCTATACCTTTGTTCTGTAGTTTCCCTAAATGTGACTTTACTGAAGAAAACTTTTAGATCCCTAGAAGTTATGCTGACATTATAAGCCAATAAGTTAAGGGTCCAATAAAACCATAGTATTCATCTTTATAAAACTGAGTAAATGGGCCTGCTCTATCTATCATGGCACATTTAATCATACTTTATTTATTTACCATTTGAAGACTTTCCATGTACTTCATGGTCAATAATGGAAGATTACTGTGGGGTGGTGTGAGGTGGTGTATGTCTGCGGCATGTGGGAATCTTCCCGGACCAGGGATCGAACCCATGTCCCCTGCACTGGTGGGAGGATTCTTAACCACTGACTACCAGGGAAGTCCAAATTATTTGTTTTTGAGAGATTAGTATGTTGTTAGATACTGACCACATTCAGCATTTGATTTTTAAAGTGATAAGAGTGTACATAGATAAGCCTGTAGCTTAAGCTCCTTTTATACTTTTCTAAAAGTATAAAAGTTACTATACTTTTATAATAATACTAGAGATGCTGAACATATTTGTAGATATGTTAGTATTTTAGGAACAGTAAGTAAAAAGAAATTGTAATAATTTTCTTGTATATTTCCCTTATTTTTCAATTCTTTGATCTCCTATACATACTTCATTGCCAGAAAAGTCTCTTTCTCAATGTGGAACTTTACCCTTTTCCTAAGATGTTCACATAACATTCTTACAGAAATACTCGGTGTTTTACAGTGTTTATTTTTTATGCAGAGCTAAAATCATGGTTATGGCAATTACACCCTGCTCTCCTTCACTTACCATAAGCATCTTCTCACATTCCTACAGTTTTCATAATCATTATGATTAATAGTTGTTGTAAAATCAAATTTATTTCACTGTAATTTACCATTTCTTTCTGTTAGACATGGAGATCATTTCCTAGACCAGCATTTCAATGGATTTTTTGTAGTTTTAAAAAGAACATCTTGGAAGGGCTGAACACAGATCTCTCCAGATAAGGAACAGTAGATTATTCCCAGTGAAAGGACTTCAGGGCATCTCACTAATTCACTTCTCAAGTCATGCTCATGTTACAGAATCGCCCAGTGGAAGCCTATACCTTTGTTCTGTAGTTTCCCTAAATGTGACTTTACTGAAGAAAACTTTTAGATCCCTAGAAGTTATGCTGACATTATAAGCCAATAAGTTAAGGGTCCAATAAAACCATAGTATTCATCTTTATAAAACTGAGTAAATGGGCCTGCTCTATCTATCATGGCACATTTAATCATACTTTATTTATTTACCATTTGAAGACTTTCCATGTACTTCATGGTCAATAATGGAAGATTACTGTGGGGTGGTGTGAGGTGGTGTATGAGAGAGAGAGACAAAGAGAAATGACAAGAAGAATATGAACCCTATCAAGACATTGACTAGAAATATCTACAGACTAGAGACTTAATAAATTAATTTTAGGTTTCTAGTTTCTATTTTTACTATATTTAAACAGTCACTTCTTCCTTGATTATAGGCCTTAGTAATTATAAATTCTCAGCTTTTCACAATGTAAAGGAGTTTATAAAATATTTTCATATAATAATATAAAAATGCATGACTTCAATTAGGCTAATAATTTACCTTAATACAGAAATACACAAGTGAACATTTAATCTTTTTCCTAGCTGTTCTATTCTTCTAAGAATGATAATTTCTTCATACTCAGAAGTCAGTTGTTATTATTATAATTTTTGTATGCTAAATATATTGTGAAACTCTCATTTGACTTTTGGCCAAAATAAAAACACCAATACCTTTGTATTTATACCTTTGTATTTATCTGGCTCAGAGCACAAGCTTTAACTTGAAGCTTCACATAGTTATCCTCTGTAACAGGAAGACTTTCCTAGAACCAAATAATAAAATAATTACACATTCCTTTGAGAATATGCCTTCATGTCGCAAAAATTTTCACACATAATTGAACAAAATCAAACAGACTCCAAATCTTACAACTAACTTAACTGGAAAAGGTACAAGCAATTATCCTATAGTATATAATACAAAAAAATATAAGGAATTTGGGGGTAAAAATTTTAAAAAGCCTTAGTTAGAGTACATATTTTAAAAAGGTACTTAAGATACTGACAGGGATATATGTGTAGGCAATGAACACAGGATAACAAAGTAGAGCAACAAACACTGTACCTCATTTTAATTTAAATAATCTCAAAGCATCAAACCTTCATCCAGGGATAGCCTTAAACACATACACATAATATATACACCGTACTGATTATGGAATTTTTTTAATGCTATAAACAAAGTTCATTAGTGTCATTTATTAATCTCTGCCTTATTTAACATCTTTTTGGACATTTCAGCATGCCCCATGGCACTCTGGGGTCAAAATACAAATTTAATGGAACTTAATTATTCCTCATATTCGACAGCTAGATATAACTTTAAAGGCAAAGATATTTCAGACTCAGGTACTCAATGTCATCCACCAATGACACCAATAATTAAAATGCTTTCTTCAACCCCTGATATGCCCTAATATTAGATCAAAAGTTGGCTAGAACAGCTACTTGCACAGTGCCTCCTGTGTTCTATCAAAGGGATCACTGTGTTTAATTTGATATGAACACAGTACTCTGGGCTATCCCTTTTTAAAACTCAGATTTGATAATATTTGGTGATAACACGAATATATTCAACAATATCGATGAATTTGTGGATTTTACTCACGATTGTGTGAAGCTGGTGATGATTGCTCCTGAGAGCCAATCAAAACTCTTAGACATTTCATCCTGACCCAATGGTAGAAACCAAGCTGTCTGAGGTTTAGACTCCTAACTTAAATGATTTTGGAGTTGTAGAAAGATAACACAGAAAAACTGGATTGTGTTCATGAGCCGGAAATTCTTATTACTACTATGAAATATACAGGCACTATGAAATACATACAGCACTTAGTTTTCATCCCTAAATTTACAGTGTGATAATGACTCTGACCTGCCACAAACCTTTTAATCACCAATGCATGAAAATTCTACTATCTATGCTTAAAGTGGTAAAAAACTGGAAACCATTTAAGGCTTAGTGAATGAGGTAACTTCACACAGCTCAGAAGTTAGTGTGAAAAACAATGCTTTTCCACCTCTTTCATTTCCCAATATGAGAGAAAGTATTTTCTGAAATATGCCTACAATCTGAAAACTCACTTAACTGTGGTATTCAGAATAAACTGGGTTAATTCTGCAACACATAAGACTACTGAAGTTGTTTTGTTTTCCTAATATCTTTTATGCCACCACCCTGAGGAACTAAAAACTCTTTTGTAGCAACTCTTTTAAAAAATATAGTTATACCACAATATGGACCACTGTTTTCACATAAGATTAATTTATAGGGTTTTACTTAAGTAATTTTCACTCATTTAGTTCAACTCAAAATAATCTGTAACAGGCCATTTAAAACTGGGTCTGTCACATATGGAAAATACACTATTTTGTTTCATTTAATGATTAAACAATTTTTCTTACCCTTTCTTGGAACACAAATGTTATTTCTTCACTTGTAGAACTCTGTTGAAAATATAAGCCTTTCATAGTCACCTAAAAACAAAAAAAAGAAAAAATATACATGAAATAAACTAATCAACAAAACGTCTTCCAGATCAAATTAAAGTAAAAATTGAAAAATAGTGCTGGCAAAGGATAAAATGACAACTCTAAGTGTTGTCTTCAAACAAATTCAGGTAATAGTTCTTGAAAGCAATCAAACAAGATAATATGCAGCAATCTCTGGTACGCATTTGAGAATGGGCTTATAGTTCAACCTTTCACACAAAGGTGAGCATGTGCTTAACTTCACTTTACTGTTCAATAAAAATTTTGAGATGTACTTGAAAAAATAAAAAAAAACCTTATGCAGGCCAGAGGGCTCAATTTTAATAACCAAAGGTGTCACTGAAAGGGCTTTCAAAGTCTTAAAAAAGACCATTAAAAAAGGAAAAAGTGGACAATCAAGACACTCATTGAAATTGTACCCCTAATCCTCTGTATCAGTTTATAAGCCATTTAATGGAAGTATTTAAACCTGTATTCTGCAGACTTCTTGAAGCATCTCTAAGGATTCACAGCCGTTTCTTTAATTTTCATAGTAATTGTATGACAAGACTATTTTTTAAATGTAAATTTTATAGAAGTACTGTATAAAATACACATAGAAGGACTTCCCTGGAAGTCCAGTGGTTAAGACTCCATGCTTCCAATGCAGGGGGTGCAGGTTCGATCCCTGGTCAGGGAACTAAGATCCCATATGCTACGTGGTGCCGCCAAAAACCCAAACAAACAAGCAAAGGAAAACTTACCAAAAAAAATTAACTAAAAAAAATACACAGAGAAAAGTTCACAGATCCTAAGTGTATAGCTTGCTGAATTTTACAAAGTGAATGTGGCCATGTCATAGCAGGAAACACATCACTAGAACTCCAGAAGCTCCCTGGTTCCCCTTCTAGTCACTACTTTTCCCTCCTAAGGACACTCAATATCCGAGTTTTAAGAGCAGGTTAGTTTTGTCTGTTTTTTACTTTACATAAATGAAATAATGCTCTTTTATGTTTAGTTTCTTTCTCTCAGTGTTATGAATTTCACTCATGCTGTTGCCTGTCGTATTTATCTCATTCATTCTCATTGTTATATGGTATTCCATTCACACCATTCATACCATTGTTATACGGTATGAATAAATTACTATTATCCATTCCACTAAAGATAGACATTTGACTGTTTCCAGTTAAGGCTTTTACAAATTATCCTAAGAACATTCTTGTACATATTTTTTGGTGAAAGTAGTACAGTATTATTGAATTTATTTTATGGATGAGCAAACTGAGACTTACAGAGGCTAAGGCACATACCTGGGGTCTCATAGCACCCGCTGGGCTACAGCTGAGACAAATCAGGTGCTAACAACTCCAAAGTCGTTTTTCTTAACCATTATATTTAATGGTTTTCTATTGAGCTGCTAACGTTAGATGTATCACTTAAAACTAGAATCCTATCTCCTTTAGTTTAGGATTGATAATTAAGTGCTTGTTGACAGAACTAGCAACCCAACTTGTAAGGCTCACTGAAAAATGAAAATGTGGGGAAACTTGTCCAGAAATTATTAAAATTTCAAGATGGTGACAGCCAAGCATTTAAACCAAGCCTGAGTCCCTTCTGAGTGTGAGGTCCATTGTGACTGCATAGGTCCCATGCTCATGAAGCCGGCCCTGCAAGCAGAATCTTAGTGGATCTAATGGATCTGTACAGTGGATTTTTACTGAGCAGTTCAGTAATGGTTGCTACTTTCTAGAAGGTAATAATCAAATGCTGGAACTAAGAGAAATGAGTACACATTCCAGACATTTATAGAAATTATGTATGTAGCACCTATCAACAAAGTATATAAAGAAAAGAAGAGCCAGGTAGGAAGATTAAATTAAGTCTAGTCCTCTGGTTACAGAAGCCCTCTGGGGTGTGTGTGTGCGCGTGTACATACATCAATGTGTTTGCTGGGGTGGAGGGGAGAGGGGAAGAAACTAAGCACAGAACAGCAGCTATGCATTCCCTTTTATAGAAATCTAAGCTCTTCTGCCTAGTTGTCAAGGCTGTCTAAGATGCATACCCACTGTCCCTAGTCTACCTTACTCCCCCCATTTTTCCAACACATACCCTGTCTGATCTAGTCAGCATGACTTCACACCATATGGCCACCGCTGTCTCAGGGCTCCAGGGACTGCCTGCTCTCTGAGACTGCGCAGTACTCACACTACAGATTCTGTGAAGTAAAGCTCAAGTCCTACTCCCTATCTGAAATCACCTCCCAGTGACTTGCAATCTACCCCATCTGTCCCATGCTTCTAGATTTCATTGTTACATACTAACAAACAAAGCCTTGCTTTATTCACTCACTAACTAGTGGGTTTTCCCAGCTATTGCTTCGAAGAATCAATATTCTTTATTACGAAGTAAATAAACCTCTGCTCCTACTCAGTCTGGAGCTACTGGAGTTGCCTTTTTGAGAAATGAAATAATTACACATCAACACCTGGATTTCAAAGTGTCTCCCTTTGTAATTCTGGAAGCCACTGTCTTCCCTGCCCATTACATCTGAGAACATATGGCATGTCTCCCAGATCAGCAGTCACATGGATCTCATACTGTATGCACCTCCAGTTTCAAAGACGCTGGAAGCTGTTTGTGTGAACCCCTAGTGTCCCTTAAGACAACTGTTATATACATAATACTGCCAGTATTTTTGGTCTGATCGTCCTAAATAGTTCCTCTAAATTAGGTTACAATCAATCTCACTGGTAGAAAAAAGTAATGTTTAGTTGGTCCAATAAGGAAACATGTGGGAGCAAAAAAAAACCCTCAAAGTTACAAAGTGAAGAAAGAGAAGTGTTTTTACAAAAGCGGCCAGAAGAAAATTGAGGAACTATTACTTGTTTTGCAACCCCAGTACTAAGTTCTTTTTTAAAAAATAATTAATTAATTAATTAATTAACTTATTTAGGCTGCGTTGGGTCTTCGTTGCTGCACAAGGGCTTTCTCTAGTTGCAGCGAGTGGGGCTACTCTTCGTTGCGGTGCATGGGCTTCTCATTGCGGTGGCTTCTCTTGTTGCAGAGCATGTGCTCTAGGCACACAGGCTTCAGTAGCTGTGGCAGGCAGGCTCAGCAATTGTGGCTTTCAGGCTCTAGAGCACAGGCTCAGTAGTTGTGGCGCACGGGCTTAGTCGCTCCACGGCATGTGGGATCTTCCCAGACCAGGGCTCAAACCCGTGTCTCCTGCATTGGCAGGTGGATTCTTAACCACTGTACCACCAGGGAAGCCCCAATACTAAGTTCTTAACAGGGAGAAAATGGTAGAATAGATGATATTCAAGTCCCACTAAGTTTCTTAGGCACTGGTCCAGATTAAATGGAACACTTAGTCCATTATTTAACAAAATTTTTATTGAATGTAAAGATATTTGAATACAGAAAATAAAATAACTGACCACACCTCATAAAATAAAAATATAAACTAAATGCATACTATTTATCATGCCATTTCGAAGGATGAATGTTATGCAATCTTAAAATTATATATTCTACTGCAAGCTTTCCTTTATCAAAAAAGTGCTACGGGGCCTCCCTGGTGGTGCAGTGGTTGAGAGTCCGCCTGACGATGCAGGGGACACAGGTTCGTGCCCCGGTCCGGGAAGATCTCACATGCTGTGGAGCGGCTGGGCCCGTGAGCCATGACCGCTGAGCCTGCGCGTCCGGAGCCTGTGATCCAGAACGGGAGAGGCCACAACAGTGAGAGGCCCGCATACCGCAAAAAAAAAAAAAAAAAAAAAAAAAAAGTGCTACGTAAAACTTTTAAATAAAAATAAATCTGTTTAAAAATATAGGCTGATGTAAAAAGCATAAAGATTTTAAAGTTTTTCACGTACCTCTGATTTTAAATATATTTGCATAAGTCCAAAAATTGAAGATTATGGTTGTAATACTTTAAATTTTTATAATGGCAACATATTAAAAATTTGGAAAAACAAACATTAAGACCTCTATTTTAAATAATTTTTGGTACAAAGCGGAATAAGGAATTTGCATAAATTAAACATTTACCATAAATAACACCAAGAAAGTAGTTAAAGAAAATACTAATCTTTTAAGGAATTTCTAAAAAAAAAATCAATGGGAAGAAATTTCAAATGGTTTCATCTTAGTTATAACAACATGAATTCCACTTGCTGTTCCCCTGCTACACTATGCACCAAGGAGCTCATCTATTAATAACTGTAAATAAAACCTCTACAGATCATTCCTTATCTATACTTTCAGACCAAAAGTGTTCTGAGTATCAGATCAACCTCAAAATCAATGGACATAAAACTAGACTCGTTTTTTTCCCCCAAACAAGATTTTGCTGTACCAAACTTCAGTCATAGAGGATATTTTAGAATCTATCATAATTCCTTCCTCTGCGTTAAGTTATCAACCATAAGGCTTCCTTTTCCTTTATAATGTCCTGGCTTACCTGCTCATTTTATTTGTTAGCACAAGCGATGGGCTAACACTGCAATGCCTCAGGCCTGGGCTATGGCCACAGGCTGCTGAATGGCTTCCTTTCTTTCCTTCATCCAATACACCTGTTACTCTATGAACAACTTAAGCCTGAAAGTCCAAACTCTTCTTATATGCTCAATTTTCCATTTTTCCTCAACACAAACTTTACAGTTTGGTGGCCACTTCAGGTTCGGGATTCAGTTTTGTTTGTTTTTTTTGCGGTATGCGGGCCTCTCACTGCTGTGGCCTCTCCCGTTGCGGAGCACAGCCTCCGGACGCGCAGGCTCAGCGGCCATGGCTCACGGGCCCAGCCGCTCCGCGGCATGTGGGATCTTCCTGGACCGGGGCACGAACCCCTGTTCCCTGCATCGGCAGGCGGACTCTCAACCACTGCGCCACCAGGGAAGCCCGGGAATCAGTTTTAATGCTTCTAACCCACCCTAATTTATATTTTAAGGAAAGCACAGATACACTGTCAAGCAGCTAGGCTGCCAAAAAAAACAGTTGAAGTCAACTCCGAAATGTTGGCCCATCATGCTGGGCCTAGTGTACAGCATTATGATACTAGCTGGACTGTTAGAGGTAAATCATCAGTTATATTGAAGAGGTGACAATACTAAGTTTTAACAATGTTCTTACCCATCTGTGGGACTTTTCATACATATCCACATATCAGAGAAAGAAGTATGTCAAATCATGTACCCATAAAACATATGGTCAGCATAATCCAAGTAACTAATGGAGGTTTGGTTCAAATACCATACTTTGCAGGTTGTGGAGGAGACTGGCAGTCCTAACTAGATAGGCCAGCTCTGCTTCTTAAAGAGGCAGGCATATCTCTACATCGTGCAGGCAACAGTCTCTAGAACCCCGTATATTTTAAGGACACTTTACATAAGCAATGAATACAAAGGTGTTTGGCTACACACTGTACTGTTCTCCTGGGTCTGTTACAAGATGGGCATAGGAGACACTGTGATAGTGGCTCACACCTAGCTAAACCTGGAAAGCATTTCTAGCTAATAACATGTATTATAAGAACTTTTTTTTTTTTTGCGGTACGCGGGCCTCTCACTGTTGTAGCCTCTCCCGCTGCAGAGCACAGGCTCCGGACACTCAGGCTCAGCAGCCATGGCTCACGGGCCCAGCCGCTCCGCAGCATGTGGGATCCTCCCGGACCGGGGGCACGAACCCGTGTCCCCCACATCGGCAGGCGGACTCTCAACCACTGCACCATCAGGGAAGCCCCTATAAGAACTTTTTATTTCACATTTTAGGTATATAATTTAAAACTTAGGAAAATTTATGAAGTTGCAATGGTCCCTCTTACTAGATGGATTTAAACTAGAGGCTGGATACACATTTACAGTGGCATCATAAAGGAGATTCAAGCATCAGTTGAGGGGGTCGGGGGATGAGATGACCATAACAAAGTCTCTTCTGAGAATCTAGATTTATATGAACATTATCAAGACATACTCAATTGAATTTATACAAGTGACGCATAATCTTTACAACTCACACAACCTGAAATCTAAAGATAGGTGAAGAATTAGGAAAGGAAAAGTTTTTTTGATATGGGATTTAGGTGGAAGCAACAACAAGAGGCATTTGATTGGATATGTCAAATTGTTGCCTATATATGCAACAAGTGGCTTCAGCAATGACCTCTTCTGAATCGCAAAAGAATTTCTGATTAATTCTCCTGCCTCCAAGAGAGCTTAACTATTGTTATTTGTTGATTTACAAAATACCTTTTCACTTAAGAATTCTTACTAGTAGGACCCCCTTGCTAGTACTGCTGGGGGGTGGGTAGTGGGTTGATTGGGGAAGTGGGATGGTTATTAATTGAAAGATTAGAAATTTTTGTTACAGTTTCTATTTGATGTAGGGCTATTTAATACAGTAAGATCTAGAACGACAGAAACTTAACTTTCATTTATATTTCTGAATTAGAATCGTATTTTCCCATATTGTACTACTGGGGAACGGTGGAGCCAATGGTGGCATGAATGACAGTCATCCCTTCCTGCTGGCTTAATCATGTGACACTGGGACAGTGCAGGTGATGAGGAAGATAAGCAATTGAGGGATCCTCCCTATATCTCTCATACATTCTCCCTCTTCTCCAACTGACTCAAGGGATGTTCTTCTCCACAGACTAACATTATTGCAGTTTGTCAACACTTAGTTTTCTAAATCACTATAGGATTTTAAATCATTTCTTACTTCAGATGCAAACTAGGAACTGTAATTTTGATTAAATATTTACTAATAAATTCACAATCAAGGGAAAATAATACACGAGATGTCATCTTTATTATAATGTATAAAAAAAGAAAATTATTTTGCAAAATACTACATTTTAGCATTATGTGGATATGTGTGTTTTTGCTTTTCTACTCATAAAACTGTCATTAGCTCAACGTATACTGTTTATTGGGTCTAGAAAAATCATAAATAAAGCTGTCTTTGAACTATTCTATGTGAAGTTCACAGGAGCAAGAAAACATTTTTATCAATTAAAAAAAGATTTCACCAAAAACAAACCCCCAAAACACTGTGATTCCATAGTGAAACACTTTAAGAATTCCCAAGCCTTCCCTTTTTCCTCCTTCAAGGAGGTACACAATTGAACCGAGACACATTACTGTCCAGGGTATAGTACTGGTTCAAAGGCCTATATATCTCCTTGAGGTTTTGTGCACTTTTCTTCAATCTAGAGCTGTGATTTTGAATGCACAGCACAGAGAGTTGTAAAACTACCAAAATATTTCACTGCAACTGACAGGCAACTTTGCCTTGTATGGTAAACCTTCTCTTTCAAATCTGAATGTCTCATCCTCTGCCACCTAGAGTAGAGGCATCAATAAGTTGAAATTAGTGATAAAAGGTAATAATTATACACTGCAGTGATTGATGGATACGATTGAGAAGTCATAACTGACCCTACCCTGAATCCTGGCTTTCCTACTTATTCACTGTATGACTTGGGCTACGTAATTTTAACCTTCTGGGCCTTAGATTCCATACCTATAAAACAGGAATAATAACAGTAGTTACCTCAGAGGGGTACTGTAAGGCTTAAAAAAATACATGCAAAGCCTTCAGTACAATACCTGGCACACAGTAAGTGCTCAATAAATGTTGACTGTTTTTACTATTATTTCTGTAAACTGAGCAGAGAACCTGTAAAATATCAAGAGTTCCAAAGCCCATCTCACAGAGCAGCGAGGGGTTCTGTCCAGAGCAACTTGAGTTTTAACACCTTTTAATTTTGGCCGTAGGCTATGACATCATCTAGATCTGTGCCACCAGCCACCAAGAAGCCCTTGAACTGTGCCTAGTCAGAATCGAGATGTGCTGTTAGTGTAAGATGCACATCAGATTTCGAAGACAATATGAAGAAAAAGAATGCAGAATATCTCGATTTTAAAATATCTGATTATGTATCTAAACGATAATATTTTATTTTTTATCTTTGGCCACACTGCGCGGCTTGTGGGATCTTAGTTCCCCAGACCAGGGATGGAACCGGGGCCCTTGGCAGTGAGACCTCGGAGTCCTAACCACTGGACGGCCAGGGAAATCCCGAAATGGCAATATTTTAGACATCCTGGGTTAAATGAAACTTTAAAATTAATTTCATGTTTCTTTTCTTTTTTTTTAAACGTGGCTCTCATTAAATCTGCACTCAGAGCTGATGGCGAGCTTGTCAAACTGCAGATTCTCAGGACCGCCCAGACCTGCACAATCAGCATCTGCGCTTCAGTATGATTCTGAGGTGGTTTTCACGCACTGCTCCAGTGTTCCTCTGTTGAGCTTACTCTGGAGGACAAACCTGGCCCTACAGTTACATAAATGCGAATACCCTGGCTTTAAGTAAGTGCTCACCGAAAAAGAAAAGTGGAGGAGAAAGCGGCGGTAGGGAAGGAGTAAGATAGAAAGAAAAAGAAACTCCAAGTAGAGGAACAAAAAGATGCAGGAAGGGGAGAAATCCAACCTGGGAGATTCAGTGGAAGGGAACTTCCAGACTTCTGCCTCCATAAATGTGGAGAGAGATACAAACTGAGGTAAACTCTACCATCCAAACCTGTAAGGACCAGGAAATCGTCAGTCAATTCAAGTCTTACCCGCCCCTCAGCGGCCTCAGCTAAGCGAGGCCTGGGCCCGAGAGATCTGAGGACGGTAACCACCATCCGCCCCAGGGCTCGACGGTTCGCCGGGGAGTCTTCCGCTCTCTCCCCCAAGGCCCGGTTGCCCGAGACACGCAGCGCGTTTCTCGGCACTCACCTGCCTCGGAGCGGCTCCAACGGCCTGCACCTTCACCACAGCCACCTTCGAGTCCTTCTGCAGAGGGCCCGCCCCCTCTGGGCCAGGGGCTGTTCCCATTGGCCAGGCCGCTCGTCAGTCTCGGAGGCTCTCGGACTCCCCAAGGCTGTAGGGAACGCCATAGCAACCGAACATGGAACTACATCTCCCGGCATGCTCTAAGGCGATGCACTAGGGGCTACCAATAAATGCGCGAAGTCCTAGTTGCCGAAGGGTTCAGTTTTATGCAAATATCAGTTAAAGACCACACCCTTCCTCATTCCAACCGTATCCCCATCATCTTCTTTGGACTGTGCCCCGCCCCCCTTTTGCCTCCACATTGTTCTTTCCTTTAACACTTTCCGTTAGTTAGTTGAATGCATCCTACCTAGTGTCTCGCCTCGCACGGCAACGGAGAAATGCACCGAAATCGTGGAACAAAATATGCCTAAGCCCCGTCAGGAATATCCCAGACCTGACGTCTCTAGTTACGCCTTCTGGAAAGGGGGTGGGGAGGAAGGAGAGCCCAGGTCACGCCCCCTTTGCACTTGCTGATTGGTTTATTCGGCTGTCACTCCGTCCTCTTTCATTTTTTTCAGCTGCCCCTCCTTTGGTTCCCCGCGGTGGGCGGGGCTAGAGGTAGGGGCGGTGAGGAGGTTAGGCCCCTTCTTCCGATTGGTAGATTCTTTTGTCCCCACCCACCAGGGGGCGGAGATGGAGGGGTGGATGGGAGCAGGGGAGGCAGCTCAGGGAGATGAGGAGATAGGCGGGAGCGAGGGAGCGAAGGAGGTAGAGAAGAGCGGAGGAGAGGGGAGGGAGCGCAGCTTGGTTGCTCCGTAGTACGGCGGCTCGCAAGGGAGAATCCCGAGCGGGCTCCGGGACGTACGGAGAGACGGGCGGGCGGGGATGGTGTGCAGAGCTGCGGCTCCTGCGTTCCCTCCCGCTGCGAGTGAGCTGCACTGATTTGTCCCTGGGGCGGCAGCGTGGACCCGCCTGGAGATGAGGTGAGGAGCGGGCTGGACCGCGGCGGCCTGGACCGGGAAGGCGGCAGGGGCGGGGGTCGGCGCGGGGGTCGGCGCGATGGCCGCCTGGGGCGCCCGTTCCCCGGGCCGGTGCGCGTCCCTCCGGGCGCCCTTCACCCTTTGCCGCACGGTCGGGAGGCGCGGCACCCGCAGACCCTGTGCCTCGTCCTTCCTATTCTCCCGGGGGCTGCGGTGGGGCGGCCGGCTGGAGGGCGCCGGGAGGCCAGGGCTCCGCGGCGGACTGAGGGGGTGGCGGCTACGGGACGGGCTTCGGGTTGAATGGGCGTCTGCAGCCGTGGCCGGCGAGCGGGGTCCCTCCTTCCTCAGGGGGGACGTGGGGCGGTCGGTCCTTCCAGGGCTGACCTCGCTGCCCTCGGCCGCCTGAGCCTGGCGGGCTGGCCAAGCCTCGCTTCCCCGCCAGCCTCCCGGGGATCCGGAGCTCGCGGGCAGCGGCGTCGCGCCTCCCGCCTTTCTCCCCCGGCCTTGAGTCCCCGGCTCATCCCTTTTTCTCTCTCCTGTGCCTTCAAAATCCCTGTCAGTGAAGGACAGTCAATGCCGTTTGGCCCTGAGTCCTCCTGCTGGGGCTGTCTCTGATGGTATTTAACGGAAAGCGGCTCTCCTTTCAGTGGGAGCGCGTCCCCGGTGTCTGCCGTTCCCTTTCCTTTCTTTACGCACAGACACGGCTTTACGGTGTGGACCGAAGGCACAATTACCGGCTCTTGCTTGAACGAGGAAATGTAATCAGAATCCCCAGGAAAAGGAAACCAACGAGGAATGGGTTGCGCCTTCCTTTACTCCTTGTTTGCCTTTGGATTAGAAGGCAACTTCGTAGATTATATTTCCTATAGACATCTTTTGTTGTGATTCAGACTAAAGGCGTTGCTTTTGAAGAAATAAATTAGCGGCTTCTGTGTTGAGTTGAAGGCTATGGAGATTTTTGATGGCCTCTTAATATGAAAGTTTCCTTTAGAACTATGCCATCATCCGTGCTATTCTGAAGGCAGCACCAGCCTGAAATTTTAAATACATGCAGACTCCGGACAGATGCGTTTCTTTGTGCTTATATGCTGGCATCCTACTCTTAATGTTTCCGTGGTCGGAACGTACAGATAATAAAAACAAGTACAATAAAAAGTATAGATAATAAAAACAAATACCATACCAAAAAATGCATCTGGAAAATTTCAATTCTGTCAACGGGGAGGCAGTTTTACTAATCCCTTTGAAAGGATGAAGACCAGGCTCAGAGATCTCATGGATTATGTGGTGGACAGGATCTGAGGGAAGGAACTGGGGCCATGGATCCAGCAGGCCAGCTGGTTTATATAGTGCTACTCTTAACCTCTGAAATAGGAGGAATGTATTTGTTGGGATACCTTTATTTTTAGATGACTTAAGGTGCAGAAGCTTAAACGCCCCCCAAAGTTATGATTTCTACCTGTCACTGAGAACAAAATACTATGTGTTTTTGTTCTCAAATTTTTAATAGTTTACTTGAAACATTTATGTTGTTTTGATGGTTGTTTGCTTATTCCTAAAGAAAAAACCATTTTAAAATATTGGGTTCTTTCTGTAGGAGGTTTGTAAAGAACCCAGAAACTTTAGGTAATCTAAATTGAGAAATGAGGGACACTAATTTAGTGATGGTTTAAAAACTATTTAAAACTTCTTTAAGTAGCTCCAGTAAGGAGCATTTCTGATACAACTTTTTTTTAAAGTCTATTTCTTTATCTAAGAATGTTATCTATTGAAATTGCTGAGACACATGTTACCTTCACAAAACGCTATTATTATTCTGCCTGAGTAAGAGAGGAAATGAACAAATTTTTGATGTACTTTGGAACCCTGTGGATTGTTCAGATACTAAGCATTGTGAAATAGGGCATAAAATGAGTGGTAGCAAGTTAGTTCCCTGAAATGTTTGTCTCTCTTAGCTAATTTTCTTTTTTGCAGTTGACTAGCAATTTCCTTTTTCTTAATGCTTATCCCTAATATTGGTAGTAAAATTCTGCTTAGGTTCATGTTTTCCCCAAATAACTAGATTAAGGCAAACTCAAATCTCCTGTAATGGGGGTTAAGAAGGCAGTGCTGGTAAATCCCTCTACTCTTACTCAGCTTTTTTTTTTTTTTTTTTTTTTTTTTTTTACTTCTTTAAGTAGCTCCAGTAAGGAGCATTTCTGATACAACTTTTTTTTAAAGTCTATTTCTTTATCTAAGAATGTTATCTATTGAAATTGCTGAGACACATGTTACCTTCACAAAACGCTATTATTATTCTGCCTGAGTAAGAGAGGAAATGAACAAATTTTTGATGTACTTTGGAACCCTGTGGATTGTTCAGATACTAAGCATTGTGAAATAGGGCATAAAATGAGTGGTAGCAAGTTAGTTCCCTGAAATGTTTGTCTCTCTTAGCTAATTTTCTTTTTTGCAGTTGACTAGCAATTTCCTTTTTCTTAATGCTTATCCCTAATATTGGTAGTAAAATTCTGCTTAGGTTCATGTTTTCCCCAAATAACTAGATTAAGGCAAACTCAAATCTCCTGTAATGGGGGTTAAGAAGGCAGTGCTGGTAAATCCCTCTACCCTTACTCAGCTTTTTTTTTTTTTTTTTTTTTTTTTGTGGTACGCGGGCCTCTCACTGTTGAGGCCTCTCCCGTTGCGGAGCGCAGGCTCAGCGGCCATGGCTCACGGGCCCAGCCGCTCCGTGGCACGTGGGATCTTCCCGGACCAGGGCACGAACCCGTGTCCCCTGCATCGTCAGGTGGACTCTCAACCACTGCACCACCAGGGAAGCCCTTACTCAGCTTTTTAATTTGCTAGATTTGTGAATTATAGGGAATTAATTACAGCTCGGTTGGGTTTATATTACTCAGTTCACATTCCACTGCCATAGAGCTTTTCTCTTCTGAATGGTTCCACTTACTGGCGGGTTTCTCAAAGTCTGGACCTCAGAACACTTATCAGCATTGCCTGAGGTTCTTGCTAAAAATACAGACTCCTGGAATCTGATTTCCAGCAAGTCCTCCAGGAAGTTTTCTTGCACAGTAGCGTTGGAGAGCCACTGGTATTGTGCTTTCTTCTCACTGAGCGTGTCCTAAGACCATGTTTTGAAGAGGATAGCAAGTTTTTTCAAGAGACAATAACTTTTATCCCTTAGGCTGCTAATAAAAAAACTATGACGTTCAGGTATGTGACACACCTATAATATAAATTTCAGAAGGGCAGACTTTGGTTCATCATTGTACCTCCAGTGCCTAGAAGAGTGCCTGGAGGAGCTTCATGAAACACTTGAGTGAATTACATCACAATGAGGCCAGTCTTTAAATCTTTACTTGTAAAGTTAATCTTATCATTTTGTAGTCATTGATTTTAAGCTAGGAGCCGCCGCAAGTACTGTACCCCAGTCATTTCTGTAAGTTTGGTTGGCTCTGAAAGGAGAGAACCTTTCCCAAGCTTAGACTGCTCAAGGCGATAAGCTGGAAAGAAGGCTCCTAGCAAAATGTTTGCTTAGACTCAAAATATAAATTTAAGTCACAGTATAGTGGTAAATTACTATGTTATCACTACATTAAAATGCCATTTTATAAGCTGTGATAAGCCCAACATAATGCAATAAAAATTGGTTTCCAAAAAATGTAGAAAACTAGTATGTTTTCTGATTTTATTTTTCATCCTCGTAACATGACCATCACTCCTTTTTTTCGGAGTCCAGCACAGGACCCAGTCCCATAAATAACAGCTTCTGTTGTGTAGTTGAGGGGATGGATAGTTAAGAGTGCAACATCTAGAGAATATTGGGTTTGACCACACATAGTCTGTGACTTTGATCTAGTCACCTAACCTCTCAGTGCCTCAGGTTTCTCAGCTGAAAATGGGAATAGTTGTAGTAAAACTTAGTACTTCTAAGTGCTTGCTTAAGTTCTTCAGATACATTCATTTAATAAATGGTAGTTACGATGATCATAAAAAGTTGAGGTATATAAAAATATATGAAACTCTAGCTAGTCCGCTCAGTTTTTGTACTACTGTACTTTATGGTAGTAAATAGAAATCCATTGCTTAAAAAAGAAGTCTCTTGCTAATTTCTTGGCACTAAATATATATAATTTTTAAGTTACAACAATAACTAAACATTAAAAGTATTTAATAAAACATCAAGTTCTATGCAGATTTTTTTCCTAAATAAGGAGAAACCTGTTATCACTTTCAGCTTAATAGTATTATTTCAGAAAGAAACTAATAATCTGTTTAGATAATCCCTTGTATTTTAAAGAATCGCATGTTTATGGTAGAACAATTGAAATACAGAACAGCAAAAAGTAGAAAACCATGAAATACTTAGAGGTCTACTACCTGAATACATTTCTCTCCAGACCCTTTTTCTGTGTGCATGTGGCTATTTATATACAGTTTTTGGTAGCAAATATGGGATCCTTCTATGCATATGATTGTTTTGTAACCTGTACTTTTTTTCTTAACATCTTATCATGAATCTTTTCATGTCTGTATAGTCAGTTACAATAGTAGTTGAATAATATTCCATTTTATGCGTCTGTGATAATTTAACCAATTTGTTTTTATGAAACATTAGTTTATTTTTTTCCCACCACTATAATCAGTATCTCTGCAATGACTATCCTCCATGCATCTCTATATATATTTTTGAGATTTTTTTTCCCTTAGGAAAAATTTCTAGAGGTGTGATTGCAGGATCAAAGTGCATGCTATGGTTTAAGAGTTTTTGATACATATTTCCAGTTTGTCATTTTGAAAGGTTGTAGCAATTTACACTCTTAGCATGGTGTATGAGAGTTCCGTTTCCCTCCCCCTTCCTTTTTTTGGGAATGACTTAACCAGTGACAAACCTAGTGAATTGTTTTCATTTTTAGGAAGAAGAATGGGATGTTATTGTGACCAGTTTGATGATGTGATATGGAAAGTCAGAAAATTCATACACCTGTCATAATGATAGCTAACTT